TAAATCATCTTCTGAAACCTCTGCTTATACTGTACTTTCATTGGATTGGTGAAGACAACCACCAGTCAGGGGAACTTAAATCGAGCAAAAAAACTAAAAAAAGTACCATAATATATAACTTGCAGATGCTGGTCCTTCATTCTGGATGATTGCCCAGGCCGTGATTGTTGTCACAATGTAGTTTTGGCCTGTCACTATTTATATATATTTTTTGCAGATACACCACATTGTTAATGTGTATTCCATTAAACATAAATAAATGTATTACAGAGGTTTCAGCTGAGCTGATAGTTCATTTCTTTAGCTTATGTTATATACAGCAAAAAATAAAATATCACCATCTCTGCAAGAAATGAGCTCTTCCCTGTGTAGCCACTGTAACAGACAGACATTTTTTAGCATTTTGCTGATATTCATCAGTGTTCATCAGAAAGACTGCTGTTTGTGGCATAACTGCAAAATGTGTTACGCCACAAACACTCAGGGAAACAGACGCTATCATCTGTAAAGACACGTTACAGTAAAAACCGAACATAATCAATATACTTCACTGTGAAACAATACCATTTTCAAAAATTGTTTTGAAGCCAAAATACGAGGTATAATTTTCAGGGATCATACTTTTCACATTGGCCTTAAATCAGTTTTCTCTGTGAGATTCTTGGCTCTGGTCTCTGTAGCAGACGTGCAAGTTTTGTATGGCAGGTGCAGTTTAGTAGCAACAATGCAACAGCTTTTCACCTCAAATATACATAATCGTCATTGCTGGTTGTACATTTTTCACTCTGTATATCCCAATTGAGGTTAATCAAGGACTTGCACTTGTTATTGGCTCTTCAACTGTTTGTCTTTGTTGCCATTTAACACAACTGAACCCTAAAGAGACAGATTGTATCATGTGGGGAAACCGAAGAGTTCGAAAGGGTGATTTGTAAAACAAAAGAGGTATTGTTTTCTATCAGAAGTGCTACGAAACAGGCACTGTAATGGATTTGTTCTTTTTCTCTCTTTTTTGCCCCCTTTAAGGGAGGCAGTCACCCAGGCCAGTGAGCTTTAAGAGTTCTGAAATACTCTCGTGGTGATCGGGGAAGGGACGGAGTCAGGGAGTGACAGTGGGTTTCAGGCAGGGTGCGATTAGGCTCAGGGGTCAGTGGCATTGATGGTGGTTTTGTCACGGGAAGTCATGCCCCGGTACCAGCTGCAGTAGCCCTCCTTCTGCTGGATGCAGGCGTAGTGCCGGGACTGGTAGCCGGAATTGCCGAAGTGGGACAGCATGTCCGTCCATAGGCACTCGTTCTTTGAGGTCACAAAGCAAGGCAGGTAGCGGCAAGGCTTAATCTACGGACAAAGACAAAAGTAAAGATTTAACCTCGAAGCAGGAAACAAAAACTGTGTACAAGCAATAAAAAATGTAGACTGAATGAGTTTTAGCTTTAGCTTTTAGTTGTCTATCTCTTTTACCTTCAATTTGTTTACAACTTAATGTTACGTCGCTTAATGACCCACTGTAGAAAAGAGAAGTTTGGATCACTAAGGAAAGAGAGTGTTATATAGAGTAGTACTGTACCTATGATTTGTGAATAGTAAATGGTGAACATGCATTTAACATGAAATCTTGAATATATATGCTTTTCAGCTTTAGCTTTCAGTCATTTACTGCAACAGATTGATAGATCAGTTGTAAATGAGGCAGCTGTTGAAATAACTACGGGGCAAATCCAGCAAGCATTCGCTCTGCTGTGAAATGTGAAATGAACATCAGCCGGTTTCCTGAAGCACTGGTGTTTTTGTAGTTTCTTAAGGATTTAGTTAGATGCGAATGAGCCAGTACTGGTGCATTGCTCCCCCAGGTGCTTGCACAAAAAGCAGCTTCATGGATGAATGTGCAGCATGAACCGACAGGAAGATCCATGTGACAACTCCGAGAGGTGATGAACGGAGTCAAAGCAGAGTCATCGGCAGCAAAGAGCTGCACTTATCTGGATATGAATGCAACAGCAATTTCAATTAGAGGGCACACTTCCCATTCTGGAGGTTCTTGTCATTCAAACCTGGAGAGTCTGCCCTCCACGCTTCAGAGCTGTTCGACATAACTTCCTAGTTTGAGTGCTTTTAATTTTCTAAACGGTACGACACGCTTCCTGCTTTCCGCATTAAACTTGAGGAGGAATGCGGAGGACGCGTGCGTTTAATAATTGCAATGACGTTTATGCCTGCCTGTGCTCACGGATTCTCACGCTGACATCTCAGTTGATTGACGGCCCTCACTGGATGCCTCTGGGCTGCTGCCATGTACACACTAAACACAGTATGCAGGCAGTGACCCAAACAGGGAACAAATCGGTCTCTCTGCTAATCCACTTATTCTGATAGGGGCCGATGGTGTTAGCAGATGTCCAGGACACTGCTGTACAGTAGGACGTTTAGCCGGCGGGTCAACAGCTGCACAGCGGCAGGCTACATGTTTGAGTCAAATAAAACTGGGAATGAAGAGATTCCAGAGCTGTCATTTAATTTTAACTGCCAAGGCTAGTCCTAAAACCTGTTTTCTCTCCATTTCTTTCTATGCTTGACCTCCATGATGGATAATGGTGGAAATTAGTCTCTATGGACTGGTTATATTGCACCATTGATATGTGACCATGAAGGTCATTATTTTTGTTGCTCTCAGTCTCCATTTGTTTTTGTAGTTAATAAGTAGCATTGTAGAGCCTGAACTGGTTTAACCCTTCTAATAGAGTCACAGGAAAGCGTTTTCCTCCCTCTTATCAATGATAAGCTCTAAAGTTGACTTTATATAAGCAGTTTAATCTTTGTTTTTAGTTGTACAACCTCCTCTTCCTGCCTCATCTTTCCTCCTCGCTGGACGTAGGTTTCTGGTTTGTACTCACCCTGCAGCTGCAGCCCAGCTGGTAGCGATGGTTGATCCCCTTCTTCTGGGCCAATGAGAGGCGGTCCCATTGCACGTTGAAGTTGCACAGGCCGGTGTAGACCTTGCCGTTGTACACTCGACCTGAGGAAGCAAAGAATGAAAGGGATAAATTCACGTGTTGAGTCACACAGCTGAATGAGATCATACTTCCACTCATGCCATTTCATTATTTGTCTAATTTCATAATCCTTTGTATGTAACATAGGATAATATAAACACATTGCTCAAGCAATCCAATTTGTTTATGTATGGTAAGACAACCTCACAGAGTAAGCCCATATTATACCAACACCCCTATTTCTGAATATCTAAAGGTCAGCAGACATCTATTTTTAGCGGCGGACATATTGCAGCTTACTGACTCCTGAGACAGGTGCACCACAACGGCCGGCGAGCACTCACGAATATCATGATTTGTCGTGGTGTTGTCGCCACGCAGGAATTTGACAGCTCGCAAATATGTGCTTCTTCGACCCTTCCGATCGGCCCGCATCCCCTTACTGGGATTACTGGCGTCACTTGCAGCCTTATTACATGGTGTTGAGTGTGTGACATGCTCCTAAAATACTAATCAGGGCTGCAGCACTCAGAGCTTGATCAAAGCAGACTTGAGCAGCTCATTTCACCCGGCCTGGTGTGTTTAAATTGCTTCTAATGTAGTCCTGATCATATGCAGGACTTATTATAGATGCCCTGAGAGCAGCGAAAGACGTCCATGATGTCACTCGCACCCAGGCTGCGTAAACAACGCCGTGGCTGCCTGGTAACGGCAGCTTGTTGCACTCGTATTGCGGGGTGTATAGCTGCAGTAGTTCTAGGACGGGACTTAGCAACGGTTACGTACACCAAGCACCGCAGGGTCCAAAGTAAACTGCACCTCTGTTGGAAATAGCAACTCATAAAATGCTTCTGCTGGAAAATGCCAGCCACTTCCTGCAATAGCTGTTAATTACAAGTTGTGTGTGAGAGAAAACGCTCTCTGCTGTTCCTGGCTTGAGAAGCTGAAGGAAATGAGCGCATTTGCCTCCTTGCACGGTGGCATAGGTTATAAATAGTGGGAAAGTTTGTGTCACAGGACAACTGAAGACGTCCTTGGTGAGAAAGGGGTAGAGGGGTTTTTGCCTTTAGAATTTTGTCATTTCACTATTGATAAAACTAAAAGATACTATTTTTGTTTTCCCGAAGCCGAATCCGATACCTGGACTTATTGGCCAATACTGATATTAGAATTGAAAAAATCGCAATAATTTAATGTAGTTTAATAGCTGTATGTCACTGACCCTGTATTACATTAAGTAATGATTGCTATCGTTGTTGAATGGCCTGGCTTAGGTTAAACCCTTTGAAAAACAATGCACACAGAGAATGAATAACATATAACATATTTTATTATCTAGTTTGGCAATCATCACTCGAAACATTTTCAGTAATATCCAAGGTTTTCCTGATGCTGGTGTTGGCATCGGAACATCTCAACTTTGTATTACTATACAGGATAAGCCATTAACATTATCATTTAGCATTTAATTCTTCACCTGGGAAAAACATATGTTTTATTTACATGGCTTGTTATCCTGAACTGTCCAGGGAATGGAACTTTCTTTACATCACATGACTTAAGCTCAGAACTTGGGTCATTTCATAACAGGTGATGGTAAATGTGGGTAGATGATTATCTTTGTCTACATTATTATTCTACAGCCATCTGTTATCATGTGACTGCTGTTCTCTTGTGATGGCACCTAAGCAAAACTCAATTCATTTTAAAAAGGGACAAGATTGACAGGTCCCAAGAAAGGCAGGAAATGAACCTTGAGAATTGTTTTCCCACAGAGAGAGGTTGAGAAATGTAACCAGGCAGTTTCACTTCATGATAGATCCATGATTGAAAAACAAAGATCATCATCTTACCGGTTATCAGGTACTGGTACTTGTTGATGTCAAACTTGACGCCGCACGAACTCTCAGAGGCGCTCGTGTAAATGTGCTGCACATGCTGGACTTTGTCAAATCCTTTGTACATCTGTAAGACATGAGAACCAAACATGGAATTATGTTTAAAAAAGGTTTCTTGGTGTGCCCCTCACCCTGCCACTGCAGCCTTTACTCAACATCACACATAAATAACGTGGAATGAAAACAGTACGCCGACTTTATCAGATGACATTCCCCAAGGAAAGCCTCGTGGGGGAATGAGTATTAGACTCTGCCCTTAACTAAATCATAGATAACATGATTATGTTGTGTAATGTGCTGCGTCTTTGATGCTGTTTGAACAAGGTCATTGCTAAACTGCAGGCCTCAGGTCCATTTTGTCAACTCAGGTAGAGATGCAAGTCAGTGTTTGGCCTGAGAACTTTTATTTCAGTGTGATTTATTTGTCTGGGAACAACAGGAAATCCCTGTTTAGATGTGGCTCCCAGAAAAACAGAACAAACTGTTTCTTAGGCCTAAAATTGTGGTGGTTTGGGAAAGCTGAAGGCATTTGTCTCATAGGATTTGTTGAAATTCTGAAGGAGTTGTGTTCTTTATCAGCCCACAAGGATAACCTCTGTATGCAGTATAAACCAACAGGCTGCAATACAAACAAATAACCCAAGAGGTACAAAGGTCACATCTAATTCCTGAGGATAATCCTTATATTGGTGATTGGTGTGCTTCACCACCAAGAGGCCACTCAATGCCTTTATTATTGATTGTACAGATGCAGTGCACGACTCTGTTGCAATGTTTACACTCGAAGTGCAGAGTTTGGTTGAGCTCTAATGCCTGTAAGCCTGCTAATCCTCTGGCCTGGCTCCTGTCTGAGCAATGGGCCGATGTCGGCATCTGTCAGAATATGCAGCGTTATGTAAGAATACAGAGGAAGTGAAGAACGGGATTAGCATCCTGAACTGATTTTCAGCTGTCACAGTAGCTGAGGGGACAGACAGACATCATTGTAGCTGAAGAGTTTCTGCAACATTCAATGTAAGAGCTTTAAAGTAAGACCTACCTCTTATATGAAAGAACAATAAGTTTGTATCTAATTTCACTTAATTTGTTTACAATCATCTGTCCACTCACTATTAAATTGAAGCCAATGAAATAAGGGGCAATAACGGAAACCAAACCAAAAGTTAAGATAACATCTAATAGTGGTACTGATTTACTTATGGACCACTTAAAGGTGACGATCACGTGAATCAATGCGATAAAACCAAACTACAAACCACATCTCATGTGTTTCACTGGGATGTTGAGCACTGAGCATAAATAAATGGTAATCCAAAATGGCAGTGATCACTTTAAGCACATAATGTTAAAGAAATGTATTAAACAGTTAAGCATCTTTCAGCTTGATTAGTTAGTTCACTCAAAGGTATGCCTCTATATCAGATCCTAACCAATCCATCCAATACAGTAAGAACCTCCCTGCCTTATTGCTCCAGTTAGATGAGTTAGAGTTGGATGAGAAGATTGATTCCACTCTCATGCCTTTGTGTCTTCTTTAAAGCTGAGAAATGTCAGTGTCGATCAACTCTCTCACCTTCATTTGCTTGACTGTGTAGCGCATCGTTCCAAAAGGTCCGTCTCTCAGGAGCTTCTTGCCCACAACTTTGGCACGAATCACTGTGAAGAGAGGAGAAAGACTGATCAGAGCAAACTCCCAGATACCTTTGACATATAACTCTGAGCTTTCCTCTGCAAGCCATCAAATAATACACTGCCTCGGCCAGTAGGAGGCATTAGCAAACCCCCTGATAAATACCATTTCAGCACCAGGTTGGCACCACAGTTAATCCGTTTATCCGATTTTCTGCATTGCTGCCATTTGCCAAGGAGGACCAATGGGGAAGAAAACACTAAAGGCCCTTTTGAGTTGATACAGAAATTCAAGGGAAAGAGTAAGAGGCCTCCTCTGTGTACCGTGGAAGATCAAGGATTTTTTGGATGACTGCTCCTATCCTTTCAAAGGTGGTACTCGTAACAGTTACAGGACGCTATGTCGAGCTTGGTTTGTAGGGTTACTATTCAGATCAAAAAGGAAAAATATGACTTCAGTCAGTATTATTGCTGATTTAAAAAAACACCTGGACTTAGTGGTTTGAGGGAACAGGGTGCAGTGTGTGTGTCCTCTGTTAAAACAGGCTTCCCTCTATATTGGGATTAGGGCTCTACAGATCTTATCGGCATGCAGGACCCTCATGTAAATGCTGGCAAGGTGAAAACGCTCTGCAGTGACTTTGATTTGTTTGCTTTCACTCATGTTGGGAGTAAGGGGGCTTATTGTGGAGAGCCAGGAGTGGGGAGCGTAGAAATGAGTGTTAATTTGAGCCAGTGAATAGAGACTAACCAGACGTGCGGGCCCTGCATAAGCGGTCAATCTTCTGTGAAGTTCACCTGCTGCCCACAGCCGACCAGCCACAGACACAACTAACACTGGTTGTGTTTGTTATCTTCTCCTCGTGGAATTTCCTTCCCACATTCTTTGGGGGCTCACATTCCCCAGAAAAAAAAAAGTGAAGTCTTTCATTCTTTTCAAGTAGAGAAAGAAGAAAAGAGGCATGTGGCATCTTCTGTTTGGTCTGTATTTGTCTAGCTGTCCTGCTTCCAGGCAAATGGAAATGAAAATAAAACTCAGACAGGAAGCACTTAAATCATGACCACCCAAATAACTGCATTTCTAAATATAACACTCAAATTCATATTTTCAGCCAGAATGAGGAGATTTGAAATATGTAGCCATCCAGCAGCTTTCCAAGAGAAATAGAGTTTTCTTTATGTGGTCCATTTTCATTTATTTTGTTCATGTTAGGAATGGAAGTGCTAGCAGCAGTGTTAGCATCGTTGCATTTACTAATAATGTGTTCCAGTGGTGTTGTTGAAAAACAGTTTAAGATTTATATACATATATATTTATTAGGTCAGTGACTTTCATTTGCAGCTTTTCAATCATCAGACAGAAGGTAAATGTAGGTCATTTCAGACCTCTTATTGTTAATGCTCTGTACTGACTCCCTGCCTGCCCTCCCCTTAATGACCTCTCACAGTAACTTGCTGCAGAACATTTGATCCATTAATCTGTCATCTATTTTAATATAAGGCCCCATTACCTGATCGACCTTTGCCAAATGTACCTAAAGGGTGTTTGACAGACATTTACCACTGCAGTTACGGAGGGACCAGGGCACAATTACAAAGGAATGTGCAGATATTTTGCTTCAGTTTAATGCATGTCTGCTGTTATTGTAAGTGTCACCCCAAAACCCAGTTTCCTACTCTGCCATGACCTCAAAACCAGCCCTCAGGAGAAACAAATGTTCACATTTGAAGGGCCACTGGGTCAACTGATTCAACTGAAGTACATCCAGATAGGACCCTTCTCGTTGAACAGTGGCCACTAATTGGCCTGTAGTGGTGCCATCACCCAAAGGAATGTGTGAAGGGCCTCAGCTGCTCTGGAGACAGAGGATTTGTGTCATTCCCCCTGTAGTGACCCCATGACCTCTGCTCCGTTCAGAAGTCATATTTACGTACAACCGCATGGCTGCCTGTTCACGTCAAAAAATATTCATTACAAGTGTTTATTTAACCCAGTTTAATACTGTGATCTGACCACACTGGTTTACCTGGAAACTACGGACATATTCTGTATATTGTTTTGTTTCTAAAGGGTTATTTTACCTTCAAGCAATATATCGACCGTTACCGTAGCTATTAGCCACCTTTTGCCAAGTCATTTTTAAAGATGCATTATGAACCAAATTAGTACAAAATGTACATATACAGATATTTTAACAAAACAAATCTGTTCAATTAGAAGTGTTTTTACTCTTTGCCCAGTTTAAGGCACCATTTAAGTCACATTGCCCCCTTGCTAACCCAGAGGTTAATAAAGTGGAGTTGTCAATATCTCTCCCTCTCACTTTATTAAATATGAGGAATTACAGGCCAGTGCAATGACGCACAAGGATTCATCTCCTGCAGAGGATCTGACATACATTTTCACGAGTGGGAGGATTTTTGTGATAAGAGAGGTAACCAGGGTCTAAAAAAAATAAAAAAAATATTCATTGTCTCTCAGTATCTCTTGCCCTAAAGCAGGGGATTACACAAGCGCAAATACTAAATCTTAAGGTGAGCATGTAATTTAGTTAAACATTTATTTCAGCCTACGTACAATGTGGCAAACTGCAGGCATGACAAGAATAAGGTGACTCATTTGTGTGTGTGTGAGTGTGAGAGAGAGAGAGAGAGGGAGAGAGAGAGAGAGGGAGGGAGAGAAAGCAAGCGAGGTGCAGGGTGGGTTACGGTGATTTTAGTATGCAGAAAGTGGTCCAAGTTTGAGGAGGCGAGTGGGAGGAAGAGGAATTCTCAGGACGACGTGCTACCACGCTCAAAAATAAACACTGAAACTGAATCCCTGCTGTAGAGCTGTGTGTCAGATGGAAAACGCTGGAGCATTAAGTCTGTAGAGTCCACTTATTGGTTGGTGAAATGCAAAGGCAGCTTATGAAGCATGAAGTGAGTTTTCAGCACCGTCTGATGTGTCACAACCTTTTTTAGAATGACAATAACATTTTAATGAAACAGCATTTGAATTTGGTCAGATTTAAAGTGACCAGGGAACAGCCGATGAATATATTGCAATATAAAGTACCACAAGTAGTGAGGTAAAGTAAAAAAGATTAGATAACTGACTCTAAAATGTCAAGCTACATCTATACTGTCATGTTGTAGTTTGAAAACCAAAACGTTCTCTCTCCACACAAGCATCTTGGCTCCGTGTCAGTTTTAACCCCCAACCATACAAACAAGCCTGAAAACAAATAACATGTGACCACTCGTGGACACTGGGCATTCGTGTGCCAGTGTAAACATGAAGGTTGTTCACTGCAGAAAGAGCTAGGCTACAGGCGAGAAAGCAGCAATGGCAAAAGTGAAATGCAGTTTTAATCTGCACAACAGTTGTGAGCAAGGACAACATGATCTGCTACGCTTGTAAATTATTATCCTCGTTGCGTTCTACACTGGTAACCGAGGCTAATGCTGTGTGTTTTTCTGGAAGGGGGTCATGTGATAGGAGCCTGATGAGGCAGCGAAGGCGATGTTGTGACTGAAAAGACCCAATAGGCAAGAGGTTGTTTCAAATTAACTTTCTAACCAACAGGGCAAGCAGCATTTGTAAACTTCCCTGTTTTAGTGGCTCTAAAATGTATGAGTATTGTGGACCCCAGGCTTATCCATAGCAGAGTTGATGTGTTTTCAAGCAAAACATGAATAGATGTTGCTTCAGTTACACAAATATCCAGGTAAAGTTTGCTATCTGGACAAAGTGAAGCTGTAGCAGCAAAAACCTTGAGTTCAGTTAACACTTCTGATATGGTGAACAAAAAAATGGACAAGCCCTTTTTTCCCGTTTCTGTAGGAAAGAGGCATGGGAATCTTTAACCAACTAGTCATTTAAATTCAAGGGTCATGCTAGCGTACCTCAAAAATACCACTTGTCAGAGCTAAAATTGGTGCCTTTAGTCAACTTTGACCAAAGTCTTTAAGATAAATTGCTTCACAACAAACCTTGTCTGCAAATTAGTGAGTATCCATGCATGCTCTGGGACAGAGTCACAACCAAGTCACAACCAAGTCACAACAAGAGTCACAACAGCTGCTTATATCTCTGTTTTTCTCACTCTCACTCTCAGCTGTGTCTGCTTAAATGTCAGTCATATCAGACAAAATTCCCATCCACTGTTGGATTGTAATGCTCTCCATTACTGCTCTTGTAAAAATGTGACTGCAGTTTCTGACAGTTACAGGCAACTACTGATTCACGTTGACTTCTGGTGTTGTATTTATCATGTTACTGTCACTTTTCAATGGGTCAAAGTCATAAATTACATAACGCCACCTTTATAAAAACATAACCATGGCAATTAAATCCATGTTTTATGGCTTGTTAGTTACTGAATTTTCATGTGTGGGTGTTAGTCAGCTCCCTCGTGCTGGCCTCTAGTTTAAAACACTGGACCCAGGGCGCCTGTGTGGTCATCAGAGAAGGACTGGAGATTTGATACTCCTGGCTCAGGGGAAGAACATTCAAAGCTTGTACGGAATCCAGAACCTTTGACATCTCGTCGTATTTTAACTCACTTTAGGGAAAACTAGGGATATCTGATCCACGCTTGCATAATACATCTCCTGTCTTTGCTCATGTCTTCATCTGTCACCTGTTGATCTGCAGAAATGGGGGAGAGTGGTTGGCAGAGGGAGTATTAATTTAACTACTGTACATAACTCATTAATAGTAATAGCAGGAGGATGAATTGGAACCAGGAGGCTGCTGTCACAAAGCTCCAGGCCGTATATCTCTCTAAACTTGCTATGCTGCAGTGTTTTACAAAGCTCCTCTATGCACAACAAAATACACACAGCACGACAGGATCCGCTTTTACAGCCTGATACTCAATCCCAAACCAAGCATAAACACATATCATGCTAATCCTCAGCAACTGACCTGGTTCACAGTGCAAGCATGTATAGGTTTGCTCCTATCACCCGAGCGCTTGGGAACAAGCGTTGTTAGGGAGCGATATTAAATCTCAGGGTCAAAGTTTATTGCCGGGCCTCTAATCTTGCCTTCGAACGGCTTTGGAAAAACAAGCGCTGCTCATTTCCCCCTGTGAATGGACTGCTTTTACATAGATGCCCAATAGCAGCCAACTAGGTCTCTGTTAAAGAAAGCAGCCAGGTCGCTCACTAGTGCTCAGGTATGTGACCGAGAAAACGATGGGTTCAACCTGATCAGAATAGACTTTACCCTGAGGATAACCCACTTGTAGTTTTCAAAATATAAACAACAAAAATCACATTTTATCAGCAAATACTCTATCCCAATGTATGGTCTCTTTAACATGCCACCAACAAAATGAAGCAAAAGTCAGACATCAGAAACTTACCAAGAAATTACAGCACTTCCATGCTCATCAATATTCCAATTTCAATTTTACTGAATGAAGAGACTCAAACACCCCTATTTCCAGCCTTTTTACCCGATTATGATTCATCTGGCGGCGTGCCTGCAAGTGATTATGGGCAAAGAAAACAAGAGCAAAACACTTTGAACTCAACTACAGGTTTTAAATTTGGAAGATTCAGAGCCTGTCTGCTTTGATGACGACGGTGAGAATTACAGGGTTTCTCCCCCGCAGCATTAGCTTTTCAACCCCATAATTTTTTTGCATTCCATGTCTGTACACATGTTTTATCTTGGCTTGGTGACACAAGCAGAAGGGCAGGTTAAAGTTTAAGGAAGAAAAAAAAAGGACCTAAAATGGAGGAATCCCTGAAAAGGTATTTTCATCCATCAACCAGCCTAATGCTGGATCACAGCTTATCACAGTTTCCTATGTAGATCTCAGAAGTCTGGACTTTGTCAATGCCTATATAAAAATAAACAGGATTTGTAACAATCCTCACTTTGAATAGCGTCGAATATGAATGAATTTGTGGGAGGTTAAAGAATGTGACGAGCTGTGACCTTTGTGCTCTGCATCCAGCTGCTGTCTTAGAATGGTTTCTAAAGTACAAGTGGGACCACAAGCATTCAAAGCGCACTTCAAGCTAAGCCGGGACCTTGGAAATGGGATTTATGAGGCTCACAACTGATCACTGCAACCATTGAAGTCAGTCCCAGATTCTACACTGGGAAGTCTTAGCGGGTGCCAACATCATGAGCCATCTGAAGATCTGAAGGACTATGAAAGGCATTGCACGAGTGTGTGGCATTCTCCCTCAGTCCAACCAGGTCACTTGGCTGAAGATGCACTCACAGGCCTGGTGATTAGGGTTTACTAAGGGGTTACACACAGTGGCCATTTTGGGTCCTCAGAGACACAATATCTGGGTCCTATTTTAGGGTCTTCCTCAAATAAATGTTTAACCTCCTCCCCCGAAGCTCTGCAAAGGATTAATTGCCACCATTATTGTGAGTTCTTGAACATAAAAAAATAAAGGAAATGACTTCAACAAAGATGTCCTAGTTGCATCCTCTAAATTTGGGCAAATTAAGTTTCCTTGTAAGAGTCACATTTGACAAAGCCTTTGAACAAGGAAAGCCTTGTAGAGTGACTACGCACAGAGGCTAGAAATAGGACACTGCTAATTAAAATATCATTTTGAAGGCATGTTGTGTCCTTTAAGTATTTCTTGTTGTTGCTGAGGGATAATTCTCAAGTGTAAATCAAATTAGAAATCGCACAGGGAGAGAGGCAGTTTTACAAACTGGAAGACGAATGGGAGTTTCAAACATATAAGGTTATATTTAATGAAATAGTTCAACATTTCAGGAGTTAGATGAGATGATTGATTTCTCATGTGTCAACGCTACACTCAGCAGTCTGTTAATTTAGCTGAGCATAGACTGGAAACATGTTTTTTTGTAAAACAAACAATGTCCACTGATAAGCTTACTAATTAAACATTGAACTTAGAACTCATTAAACTAAAAAGATGGAACTCGTTAACTAGTCTTTTTTTTTTTTTCCTGGTGAGAGACATGCTAGTTGAAACAGCTTGTTTATAATCTGTTTGCCAGATAAATGTACAGACACGAGCATGATGTCAGTCTCCTCATAGAACTCTTTCTAAGTAAGCCTTAGCTTAATAATAAAAAACTGAAAAAGGTTTTATATGGGGAAAAGCAACAGCTTAATAAAAGCGAGCTTAGCTTAGCTCGAGTTTGAAGTTAAATTTGTTAATTAAAACAATGAAAATGTTTGTGTGAATTCTGGTGGTTTATTAACATGAAAAAAGTCAAGCATTTATCATCACTATCAGCCTCTAGTGGTGACCGGTAGTAAATGCAGCACTAAGAGTGGGAACGTGTGCAGGGGTGTTACTGCAGAAACTAGGACTTCCCTTGTTGGTCGACACTAGACGGCAGGGTGAACACATGGGCTTACGCACATGGCTGTAGTGTGTGTGTGTGTCTGTTAGTGCATTGTTTGATGACGTGTCAGGATTTTAGAGAGCCGCTTGATGGTTTCACATTTTTGGGTCAAATGATACTCGAGCAAAATATCAGCTACACACAAAAACACTATCTGCTGTTGCCTTTGTGTGTGTGTGTGTGTGTGT